GCATCCCTTTTAAGGGATAATTCCCTATTCCTCCCAAATACTGTTCCACTTTCTGTCTCTATGAACTTGAATATTTTAGATACTTCATATAAGTAGAATCATAAAAGTTTTATCTTTTTATAACTGGCTAATTTCACTTAGCATAATGTTCTTAAAGTTCATCCATGTTGTAGCATATGTAAGAATTTCCTTACTTTTAAGGATTGTATACATATACCAACTTTTGCTTATACATTCATGTATTGATGGGCACTTGGGCTGCTTCCACATTTTAACCACTGTGAATTATGCTGCTATGACATTGGTGTACAGATATCTCTTCAAGATCCTGTCTTCATCATCCTTTCATTTTCAACCTATTTATGTCTTTGGATCTAAACAGATTCTCTTGTGGACAGAATATAGTTGGATCATATTTTTAGAAATCCATTCTGTCAATTTCTGTCTTTGATTGGAGAGTTTACATTTAAAGTAACTACTGAGTCCTGGCCAGTGTGGTTCAGTGGATTGGGTTGTGGGATGGGTCCCCAGGAGGGGACATGTGAGAGGCAACTGATTGATGTTTCTCTTGTATATCTCCCTCTCTCTATCCCTCCTTTCCTTTTCTACCTCCCTCCTTTTGCTTTCTTTATGCCATCTGGCTTTTTTATTTCTAATTTCCTACATTACTGTCTTCTTTTGTGTATAGCTGATTTTTTTTGTAGAGAGACACTTTAATTACCTACCCATTTCTGTTTGTACATAGTCTATATTTTCTTTGTGGTTACCATGGGCATTACATTTAACACCCTAAAGTTTAAACATTCTAATTTGAATGTGTACTAGCTTAACCTGTATGTACAACATACCAAACTTCTTTTACACAGTTCTGTCCCCACCTCTTTCAGTAATTGATGACATCTTTATACATTATGTGTTAAAAAACATACACTAATGGGGACTTCTGGTGAAGACAGAGGTGTAGGTAGATACGCTTTGCCTCCTTGCACAACCATAAGAAGGATCACAACTAACCTCACAACAAAAAAACCACCCAGAACTGCCAGAAAATTGAACTATATGGAAGACCAACAACCAAGGATTTAAAGAAGTCATATTCATCCAGATGGGTTGGAGGGGCAGAGCTGGGGAGCTGGGCACAGAGGATGTGGTGTGCCTGTAGGGAGGTGGCTGTGGTGAGGTGGCAGCAGCAACAACAACCTGTGGAATGGGAAGTCCCATATTCACATGTGGTACATAGAAATTGGAAGGGATACTTGGGGTGTGAGTGATCCCTGCCCCAGGCCAGACTGTGCAGTCCAGGGTTCTAGTGCTGGGAAAATAAAGTCTAGTATCGTCTGGCTATAAAAACCAGTGGGGGTTGAGGTGGCAGAGGAAACTGCTGGTTTCTCAGAAGACTCCCCTTAAAGGGCCCACATGGTCCTAGAACATAGGCAAACCCACCCCCTTTGGGAACCGTCACAAGGACAACAGCTAGAAGGGTGCCAGTCACATATGGGAAGTGGTTGAAGTGACTGGAAATGGGGCAAGTGAGCAGTAAGCCTCCAGCAGCCACACAGTGGCACTGTTTCCTTTACAATCCCTCTCCCACATACAGAGCCAGAAAAAGGTGAAGTGGGTTGCCTGGCCCTGGCAAATATCTAAGGTTCTGCCCCATAGAACTTAACAAGTTCACCAAGACAAGAAGTAAAAGCAGCTCTACTTAATATGCAGAAACAAACACAGGGAGGCTGACAAATTGAGGAGACAAAGAAATATGGCTCAAATGAAAGAACAGAACAAAACACCAGAAAAAAGAACTAAACGAAATGGAGATAGCCAACCTATCAGATGCAGAGTTCAAAATACTGGTGATACAAATGCTCAGAGAGCTCACTGAGTATGGCAAAAGAATAAAGGAAGAAATGAAGGCTACACTAAGTGAAATAAAGACAAATCCACGGGGAACAAACAGCATGAATGGATGGGATACAGGGTTCAAATCAATGATTTGGAACAGAAGGAAGAAATAAAGAGCTAATCAGACAGAGTGAAGAAACAAGAATTCCAAAAAGAGAAGAGAGAATAAGAAGACTCTGGGACATCTCCAAAAGTGCCAACATTCGAATCATAGGGATGCCAGAAGGAGAAGAGAAAGAGCAAGAAATTAAAAACTTATATGAAAAAATAATGAAGGAAAACTTCCCCAAACTGGAGAAGAAAACAGTCCTGCAAGTCCAGGAAGTTGAGAGATTCTCAAAGAAGTTGGATCCAATGAGGAACACACCAAGACACACCATAATTAAATTACCCAATATTAAAGATAAGGAGAGTTCTGACCAAGATTCAGGCACAGGTAGAAACACTTCACTTCCTTACACAATCAAAAGAAGGATAATAACCAATTTAAACACAACAAACAACCAGAACTGTCAGAAAAATCATACTGCATGGATCTCTGACAACCAAGGAGTTAAAGAAACAACCATCCAGAATGGTAGGAGGGGCAGAGATTGGTAGCAAGGTGGAGAGGACCAGTCGCAAGGCAGTGGACCGCATGGACAAGGCGGGGTGGTTGACTGGAAAACTAAAGACTCAAAAGCTCTAGCTTTAAAATATTGTGGTGGTTGCAAAGGGAGGAGGAACTCACAGTCTCACAGGAGAGTTCATTGGAAAATGGGGCTGGAGTGGAGCAAGCAAGCAACATTGTTCCCTCCCTGACCCCTTCCCCATAGAGAGCACCACAACACAACAAAGAGGGTTGCTTCTCCCTGAGACAAAGAAATATAGCTCACATAAAAGGACAGATCAAAACTCCAGAAAAAGAGCTAAGTGACGAGGAGATAGCCTATGTGATGCAGAATTCAAAACACTGATAACCAGGATGCTCATAGAATTGATTGAGTCAGTTGCAAAATGAAGGAAGAAATGAAGGCTATACATAGTGAAATAAAAGAAAATATACAGGGAACCAACAATGAAGGAAAGGAAACCTGGACTCGAAGAAACAATTTGGAGGAAAAGAAAGAAATAAACACTCATCAGAACAGAATGAAGAAACAAGAATTCAAAAACAAAATGAGGAAAGGCTTAGGAACCTCTGGGACAACTTTAAACGTTCCAACATCAGAGTAATAGGGGTGTCAGAAGGAGAAGAGGAAGAGCCAGGAATTGAAAACTTATTTGAACAAATAATAAAGGAAAACTTCCCCAATCTGGCGAAGGAAATAGACTTCCAGGAAGTCTAGAAAACCCAGAGTGCCAAAGAAGTTAAACCCAAGGAGGAACACACCAAGGCACATCATAATTAAGTTACCCAAGATTAAAAATCAGAAGAGAATTTTAAAAAGCAGTAAGAAGAAAGGAGAGAGTTACGTACAAAGGAGTTCCCATGAGACTATCAGCTGATTTCTCAAAACACCCCCCAAAAACCTTATAGGCAAAAAGGGGCTGGAAAAAGTATTTGAAGTTATGAAAGGCAAACACCTACATCCAAGATTACTCTATCTAGCAAAGCTATCATTTAGAATGGAAGGGCAGATAAAGTGCTTCCCAGATAAGGTCAAGTTAAAGAAGTTCATTCTCTCCGAGCCATTATCATATGAAATGATAAAGGAACTTATCTAAGAAAAGAAGATCAAAAACCATGAACAGTAAAATGATAGCGAACTCATAACTATAACAATGAACCTAAAAAATAAAAACTAAGCAAATAACTAGAACAGAAAGAGAATCACAGAAATGGAGATCACATGGAGGGTTTTCAGTGGGGAGGAGGAGGGGGAATGGGGGGGAAAGGTACAGTGAATAAGAAGCATAATTGGTAGGCATAAATAGACAGGGGGAGATTAAGAATAGTATAAGAAATGGAGAAGCCAAAGAATTTATATGCACAACCCATGGGCATGAACTAAGTTGGGGGAAAAGATGCTGGAGGGTGGGTGGGTGCAGGGTGGAGGAGGTTAAAGGGGAGAAAAATTTGGTACAACTGTAATAGCATAATCAATAAAATATAAAAATAATTTTAAAAAATCGTAAGGGAGAAATTAAGATATTTCTAGATAAAAGTTAGGGACTGCTTAGGCTGGGATGCTTAGTGGGTTGGAACATCGTCCTGTTCACCAAAGTGTTGTGGGTTTGTTTTCTCATCTGGACACATACCTAGGTTGCATGTTCGATCCCTAGTCAGAGTGCATAGGGAAAGCAACGGACCATTCGATGTTTCTCTCTCTCTCCTGCCTCTTGCTATTCAAACTCAGAAACTAGATAGAATTTTTTTTCAGATAGTGCACAAATATAACCAGCATTTATGAAGATGGGTCAGGAATAAATGATATTGAGGAAATATTGACTAGATCTCCCTTCCCAATTAGCCCATTTTACTGTTGAGGAAACTGAGTCTCTTTGTGGAGGGGATGCACAGAGGGTAGGGGGTTCTCTTCTAATTTGCTAAGCAAGGCCAAGAATTCTCTCCGTGGTGAAGATATATATGTGTGCGTGTGTGTGTATCTATCTATCTATATTTTTTTCCTAAAGATTGCCCCTCCCCTACCTCTGCAGTACATGTAGGTGCGTGTCGAGCCACAGGCCTTCTAGAAATGAGTGACATTTCTCACAAATGAGCGGGAACCTATCCCTCTGGGAGACCTGTGGAGAATGACCAATGGGATGGTTAGGGAGTGTGGGTAGGTGGATGCATACCTGTCTCTTAAGAGGTTGGGGTGGAATCCATTGCATCTCCCCCTACCCACCCCCATTCCCAGCCGCCTTCGGTCCTTCTACGCTTTCTCTCCGCTGGTAGTGCCCAAGTTACTCATCTCCTTAATTCCACCCGAGGCCTAGGATGAGTTAGGGGCAAGGCTGGAATCTGAAGACCGAAGAGCTGCATCTGTGAAAGCTTCCCCCAGTGGCCCGCGGCCACAGGATGCCAATATGTAAAGCAGCCAGTGGGCGGGGCCTGCGCGCGATGCAAATGAGGGGGCGTGTCATCCCTGGCTCCTCCTCCCACCCCCGCAGCTGGGGCCAGCGGTGCCGAGCGCAGCTGGACGAGTGGTGGCAGCTGGGCGAGTGACAGCCGCAGCTAGGCGCGCCAGGCGGCCAGAGCTGCGCAGGGACGCGCCCCGGCTCCGCGGAACCAGCTGCCGCCTTCTTCGAGACTCCCAGCCGCAGCCGGAGCCCCACGCCCCGGGCTATCCATCGTGGGCTCCCGCGCCCCGCGCGCAAGATGGCTGACCCGGCTGCGGGGCCGCCGCCGGCGGAGGGCGAGGAGAGCACCGTGCGCTTCGCCCGCAAAGGCGCCCTTCGGCAGAAGAACGTGCATGAGGTGAAGAACCACAAATTCACCGCCCGCTTCTTCAAGCAGCCCACCTTCTGCAGCCACTGCACCGACTTCATCTGGTGAGGGCGCGCGCAGGGCGCCTTCTCGGTCCGAGGGCAGCACTGCGGATGGGGACCCCCTGCGACCCCGGAGGGACGACAGCCTAGCCGACCCTGTGTCCCGGTTATCCCACTTCCACCCTCTGGCCAGTTTCCCCGGTGGCAGCCTCTGCCCGGGCTCCAGACGGACGGCCGCCGGGCGCCTGCTGCCCTCTCGCTCCCTGGTGCCTCTGGAGCACCCGGGGCCGCTCAGAGCTTGGGGTCTGTTCCTCCGTGGGATTGCCCTCTCGCCCTGGGTTCCCTATGCCGTTGCCTCCTTCCGGGCCGCACCTCCACCCCTCCTTTCCGGGGGCAGAGCCCTGAGCAGCCTCTATCTCCCTGCGGGCTTGGGGCATCCTTTTCTTCTCCGGTGTCTCCAGCCTGGGGCTGCTCCCTGTGCTATCTCTCATTGCCTTGCGTGTCCCCAAGGGCCTGGGTTCCCCTTTCCACTTCCTAGACCTTCCCCCTCACATATCTGCGGGCCACTTTCTCCCCGCTGCCCTTTTAGGCATGGGGAGCCTGTTTTCCCTTCCCAGGCCCACTGGGAACACCGCCACCGCGGGGACTCATCTTGGCGCTCCTCGTGCCTTTATCTCTTCTCCCGAGGTACTCGGGTATCTTTGGGAGCAGTTCTCCCGCCTACCCTCCGCTTCCCCCGCCCCACCATGGACACGCCACCTGGTGGTCGCAGCCTCCTGTCTTCTGCTTTCTGAGGGGAGGTGGGGGGATACCATCGAGCTCCCCCTCCCCCCTCCCTGTCTCCTTCACAGGCGGAAGGCTGGGGCACCGGTCTGTGGTTGGGAGGTTGCACCTGGGGTAGAGGGGCAGGGGAAAGGGGGTTGACCTTGGTGGCTGGGTTCCTCCAGCTGCCTGACTTGCTTCTTTCTGCCTTTGCAGGGGCTTCGGGAAGCAAGGATTCCAGTGCCAAGGTAGGCTGTGGGGCTCTGGGGATGCTTTTTTAAAGAAGAGGTAGTGAAAAATACTTTCTTAGAAATGACTGAGTTAGGCGGAGAGTGAAGGAATTACGTTTGTCAGAGTGACTTCCCAAGCCAGGATTCATCACCGCGGAAGGGTACTTTTTTTTTTTTAATTTTTTTAATTTATTTTTTTAAATTGATTATGCTGTTACAATTGTTCTATTCCCCCCTTCATTCCCCTCCACCCTGCCCTCCCATCCCCACCATTACCCCCCTTTAGTTTACGTCCATGTGTCTCAAGTCCTTTAGGTTCTATATTTCCCATGCTATTCTTGCCCCCCACCCCCATCTATTTTCTATCTACTGTCTATGCTACTTATTTTCTGTACCTTCTCCCCCCATCTCCTCCTCCCACTCCCCTGTTGCTAACCCTCCTTGAGATCTTCATTTCTATGTTTCCACTCCTGATCTAGCTGTTCTTTTAGTTTGCTTTCGTTTTAGGTGTGGTTGTTAATAACTGTGAGCTTGTTGTCCTTTCACTGTTCATGTTTCTTTAACTTCTTTTTCTTAGATAAGTCCCTTTAACATTTCATATAATAAGGGCTTGGTGATGATGAACTCCTTGAATTTGATCTTATCTGAGAAGCACCTTATCTGTCCTTCCATTCTAAATGAAAGTTTTGCTGCATAGAGCAATCTTGGTTGTAGGTCTTTGGATTTCATGACTTGGAATATTTCTTTCCAGCCCCTTCTTGCCTGTAAGGTCTCTTTTGAGAAATCTGCTGACAGTCTGATGGGGACTCCTTTGTAGGTGATTGTCCCCTTAGCTCTTGCTGCTTCTAGGGTTCTCTCCTTCATTTTAGTTTTGGCTAATGTAATTATGATATGCCTTGGTGTGTTTCTTCTTGAGTCCAACTTTTTTGGTACTCTCTGAGCTTCTTGGATTTCTTGGAAGTCTATTTCCTTTGCCAGATTGGGGAAATTTTCTTTTATTATTTGTTCAAATAATTTTTCCACTGGTGGTTGTGTCTTTCCCCCCTTCTGGTACCCCTATAATTCGGATATTGGAGCGTTTAAAGATGTCCTGGAGGTTCCTAAGACTCTCCTCATTTCTTTGAATTCTTGCTCCTTGACTCTTTTCTGTTTGGCCATTATTTGCTTTCTTCTGGTCCACTCCATTGATTTGAGTCCCAGTTTCCTTTTCATCTCTATGGGTTTCCTGTGGAATTCCATTCATTTCCCTTAGTTTAGCCTTCATATGTTTGTCTAATTTGTGGCTATAATCAACCAGATCTGTGAGGATCCTGATGATCAGTGTTTTAAACTGTGCGTCTGAGAGTTTTGCTATTTCTTCGTCGCTTAGATTTATCTCTGGGGCTTTGAGGTCTTCCTGCGACATTTTTGGTCTGTTCTGGCCCTTTAAATGTGAGAAGCGGCGCCTTGGACTCCCAGGTCGCTGGGTTGTGACGCGGTATGTGGGGGCGTGGTCAGAGCGGGAAATGGCGGCGCCCTCTACTGCCGAGTGCCACGGGGACCGCCGGGGCCCCGGTCCAACAACCCACTCCCTCGCCTGTCCGCTCGCCCGCAAATAGGCAACCGCAGTCAACACGCAGCACCGCCTCCCCACTGTCTCCTCAGCAGTCGCTTACCCGGTGGGTTGCTCGGTCGCTCACTAGATCCAATCCTGCGTTTGGAACCCATGTGTCTGGATTCGTGCGTCTGGATTCCGCGCCTGGGTCCGTCCGACCGGAGTCCTCCTGTGCAACCCCTTATGAGACGCCGGTTTCGCCCCTTACCAGTCGGGCTGAAGAATTTGTTGTTAACGGACTTCCGAAAAGTTCAATTTTCCGTGTTCTGGTTGTGTTTTCTGATGCTAATATTTAGTTGTCCCTAAACTTGGTTGTGTGAGAAGGCACGGCACATCCACCTATACCTCCATCTTGGCGGAAGTCTAGTATGTTTCTAATCTTGAGGGGAAATATGCCATGTCCTCTCAGACTTACTCCCAGTAGCGTTCCTCATGCACCTGTTTGCCGGAAGGGTACTTTTAATGGGTATATTTATATGTAGCAGGTGATGTTCCATCCAGGAAAGGCCAGTGGTGCTGCAAGGCCTTACGTGCAAAGGAGTGTATCCCCTCCCACCCCCTTCTCCCTTCTCAGTACCAGGAAATTTAAAATGAGTTTCTTGAACCTACCCTGCCTGATCAGTCCTGCTCCTGGAGGACCCCTCCTCCCTAATTGTGGCCCACTTGCCCTTCCTCATCTGACAGAGTGAGGTTCTACCTTTTTTCCTCCCTCACAGAAGTCTCTGCAGGTTACTTCCACCTCTGCAGATGTAGTCCCATTGTCCTCTGGTGATGGCGATTGTCCTCTGGGTTTCCTGAAAGAGGTGGTTCCACATGGGATGCCTCTCAGATCTTGGTTTAAGTTGCCTCTTCTATCTTCTGGCTAGATATGGAAGGGCTCCAAGTGGGTCCTTGCATCTGGTATGAGATCCTTGACCCAAGCAAAGGAGGCCCAACTTTACGGTGTCTTTTTTTTTTATTGATTATGCCATTACATTTGTTCTATTCCCCCCGCTCCGTTCCCCTCTACCCTGCACACCCCTCCCCCACCATTTCTGCCCCTTTAGTTCATGAACACGTGTCTCAAGTTCTTTAGATTCTGTATTTCCCATACTATTCTTGCCCTCCTCCCTATCTATTTTCTACCTACCATCTATGCTACTTATTTTCTGTACCTTCTCCCTCCTTCTCCCCCATCCCCACTCCCCCTGTTGCTAATCCTCCACGTGATCTTCATTTCTATGGTTCACTCCTGATCTAGCTGTCCTCTTAATTTGCTTTTGTTTTAGGTGTGGTTGTTGATAACTGTGAGTTTGATGTCCTTTCACTGTTCATCTTTTTTATCTTCTTTTTCTTAGATAAGTCCCTTTAACATTTCATATAATAAGGGCTTGGTGATGATGAACTCCTTGAATTTGATCTTATCTGAGAAGCACTTTATCTGTCCTTCCATTCTAAATGAAAGTTTTGCTGGATAGAGCAATCTTGGTTGTAGGTCTTTGGTTTTCATGACTTGGAATACTTCTTTCCAGCCCCTTCTTGCCTGTAAGGTCTCTTTTGAGAAATCCACTGACAGTCTGATGGGAACTCCTTTGTAGGTGACTGTCCCCTTATCTCTTGCTGCTTCTAGGATTCTCTCCTTCATTTTAATCTTGGCTAATGTAATTATGATGTGCCTTGGTGTGTTCCTTCTTGGGTCCAACTTCTTTGGGACTCTCTGAGCTTCCTGGATTTCCTGGAAGTCTATTTCCTTTGCCAAAACGGGGAAGTTCTCTTTTATTATTTGTTCAAATAAGGTTTCCACTTGTGACTGTTCCTCTTCCCCTTCTGGTACCCCTATAATTCGAATGTTGGAACGGTTAAAGATGTCCTGGAGGTTCCTAAGCCTCTCCTAATTTTTTTGAATTCTTGTTTCTTCATCCTTTTCTATTTGGTCATTTTTTTCTTCCTTCTGGTCTACTTCCTTGACTTGAGTCCCAGTTTCCTTTCCATTACTACTGGTTTTCTGTGCATTACCATTCATTTCAATTAGTTTAGCCTTCATATGTTCCTCTAATTTGTGACTAAAATCAACCAGTTCTGTGAGTATCCTGATCACCAGTGTTTTGAACTGTGCATCTGAAAGTTTGGCTATTTCTTCATCTTAGATTTATGGGCTCTGGGGCTCTGAGTTGTTCTTGAGCCATGTTTTTATCTGTTTGTGCCTGTTACGTATGAGGAGCGGAGCCTTAGTTGTTCACCAGGGTGGGGCCAGCCAGGTCGCTGGTTTGTGACACTGCTGCATGTGGGGGTGGGGTCAGAGAGGGAGCAATGGCAGTCCTCTCCGCTCTCCCAGTCTGTCCCACCGCTCACCCCCACCTGTTTATCTGAGCGGAAATGTGAGAGCCCGCCGCCCTGCGCCGTGCTGTCTCAATGCTTGCCTCTTCACTTGTCTATCTGCACGCAAATGCTGGACTGACCGCAGACAGCCAGCCGCACCTCTTCCCTGTGTCTGCCAGTAGCTAGCCTGCACCTGGGATCCGTGCCTTCGACCGCCTGTGCACCACCCCTGTTGGGGATCTTTTTGGCCAACCCACTCTGTTGCTAGTTTCACCTCTCTTACCGGTTTAGCTGAGCATTTCGTTGTTTTCAGACTCCGTATTGTCGATTTTCTGTGTAGTTTGGTTGTGTTTATTGTTGTTAAAACTTTGTTGTTTTTAGATTTGGTTGTGCGAGGACGCAAGGTGTTTCCACCTACACCTCCATCTTGGTGGAAGTTCCTTCACGGTGTCTTTTAATCATGTATGAGGTGGCCTTAGTGGTCTCTGGCTGCAAATTTGCTCTTTAGGGCCAAATCACCTGTTGCTGTGTTGAGCCCTTAGGGTGTCAAACGTGTTTTAGAATTTATTTTTTTATTTAAAAATTGTTGTTGTATTTTTCATTCCCATCTAGCCCTGCTATGCCCCCCTGCTGCCCCCACCCCACATTTTTAAAATTTAGTATGAACATTTTGGAACTGGGAGATTTCACATACATGTCTGAATTTCCACCTTCAAGTGGGCTGAGAATTGGCCCTACTTTCTAGTTGGAACAGTCATTGGAGTTGGTAGTGGCTATTTGCACAGAGGGTTGTACACTCACCACTTTGTCTCCGTCAACCATGCAGGCTTCAGTCATTGCTGGCCTCTTCAGGCATTTGAGTTGGTAACTTCTGGTCTGGAAGGACAACCCTCCTCTCCCAAATTTTAGGCTAGGTTGGTTGAATTTGGTGAGGAATATCACATTTCTGAGGTGTGTTTTAGGCGCACATTCACTGCCCTGGTGAGCTGGTTTTACACCAGGAGAAGAAAGCATTTAAGTGTAAAGAGCCAGAGATGTGACTTGATCAGATTGGCAGTTCTGTTGTAGCACCTCCACCCTCCAGGAAAAAGTAAAGTGAGTGCCATTGACAGTTGCACAGAATGCT